TAACAAAAAAAAAAAAAAAAAAAAAAAAAAAATTTTGTTTATAAAATATATTTCATTATGTATACAAAAAATAAAAATATTATCTCATAAATTTATATAAAAAATATGTTCTTATAATATTCTTATACTAAAAAAAAGCTTAATGAAATTTATTAAAAAAAAAATAACTTTAAAAAAATAATTTGTGAGATCTAACAATAAAAAAAAAAAAAAAAAAAAAAAAAAAAAAAGGTGACTCTATAATTATAGGAAAAATGATGTGTTAACATTATCTATTTTTTGAAATTTTATTTGAGAATATTCTACAAACTTACAATGCACAAATATACGGTTTATAATAAAAAATAAAACTAAAAGAAAAATGTAAAGGATGAACTCTATTGATAATTTAATTTTCTCCATAATATATATTTTTTTTTTTTTTTTTTTAAAACATAAATACATGTAAAATTGAAGGTAGCAAAATTACAAGTTCAATATTTTTGTTTATTTTCATATTATTTTAAATGAACTAGTCTTTACAACTGAAGTTACTAAGTTTACTTACATTATGTTTTTAAAAAATAAAATTTATAATTATAAATAATATTATTTTAAAAAATATAAGAAAAATACCTTATCAGTTCAGAATAATAATTATTATTTTTTAAAATAGCTTTTTTTTTTTAAAGTTATATATCTTATTTTAATTTTAACGGCAAAGTCTATATTGTGATTTCGGAAACAAGGATATAAAGAAAAAAATAATTTAACATAAAGAACATTTTAATTAGTTAATTTTTTTTTTTTTTTTTTTTTTTTTTTATTCATTTCATTAAATAAAGGTTATTTATCTTTAAATATTTGAATAAATATATAAAAAAAATAATAAAAAATTTATAAATATGATGTTGAATAAAGATGATTCAAATAATTTCTGTGTCTTTTTAAACTTATTTAGAGCAAGAGGTATTCAAAGCAACATATATAAATAAATATATAAATTATCAAATTTTATATTTACCTAATTATTACATTTATATATACATATATATTTTATAGTAAATTTACTTTTTGTTTTTTTTGTCAGTTAATTTATTAGAAATAAAAAAAAGAAATGAAATTTCAATTCAAAAAAAAAAAATACACCATCTACTATTGTAAGTTATTACTATATCCTATAAAACTATATAAATTTTATTTTTCAATATCAATATATTATTTATTCATGTATATACATGAGTGTATGTATATATTAATTTTTACACATTTTCTATATTTTATTTAGATACATCATTATTTTTACTTATTTTTTTTTTTTTAAAAAGGAATAATGAAATCGAAAAAGCACATGCAAATATTTGTATAATGCTAAGGAATCAAAATATAATTGAAGTAAGCAAGAAACTAATTGCACTATGTACTGATTTTAATTCAATTATGTTTTTAAAAAAAAATATTCATAATAATGACGATATAAAAAAATGTCTACGAAATATCTTATATTGTTCTAATAAATTAAATATAAGTAACACGGAAAACTTAAGAAATAATTTTATTAAAATATTTGGTAAAAAATATATAGAATTGATTGAAACAAATTTTATTTTAATTGATAAAAATATCATTTCTCTTATTAATAAATATCATTTTTCATATAAAGAAATAGAAGAAGTAGAAAATATGCTTTTAAATGAAATGGATGAACCTATAAATGTGAGGAAAGATTGTTTATGTGATACTTGTAATTCTATACAAAATAATAACACTCTTTGTAATTTAAATAAAAAAGATATACTTGATATTGTAAATAAATATTCTCAATGTGCTGAATGTATTTTAGATAATAAAAAAAAAAATATATTTAAAAGCATTGAAAAACAGATAATATTAAAATTAAATAAAACTCTTTTAAAAAATTAAAAAAAAAATTAAAGAATAATTATAGAAGGTTAAACATTTAAAAATATTAACACTAATTTTTCATTTATAAAATTTTTTTTTTCATACCAATATTATTGTAGTAATTTTTAAAATTCAAATTATATTTTACTTCTTAAATTTAACAAATTTTATTCTCACCTATATATCCACCTAGTTATATTCTTATATGTATTAAAAAAAAAAAAAAAAAAAATAATACTTTAATTTTATAAACATAAATTATAATTCATGAAAATACTATTTTATTAGTATAATTATTTTATTTTTCTTTTTTAATTTACATAATAATTAAAATTGTTTGTTACAAAAAAAAAAAAAAAAAAAAAAAATTATTTTTAAAATTGTTCTTGAATTTTTAAAAATTTTAAGTTATAAATTTTGTACAAGAACAAAATTAAAATTCGATACAAACGTAAAAAAAAAAAATTTTTATTAAAAAATAAAAATGGTAAAAAAAAAATAAAAAATTTTTATAAAAATAAAGTTTTTTATAAAAATAACAAGTAAACTTTTTATAAGAATAAATTTTATAATTACAATAAAAATTTTACTTTTTGTAATATTAATAAAGTTATTTTAAAAATTGTAAAAATAAAGGGAAAAATGATTAAACACAATAAAAATGAGTAAAATTTTTTTAAAATACTTAATAAAAAAAAAAAAATACAACTGTAATAGATGAATGAAAAATAAAAATAAGATGTTACAAAAATAATTATATAATAATGAATTCTTTACTTTTTATAAGAACAAAACCTTTATATGAAGAAATTTTTTAACTTTATATATTTTATTCTAATAATATACGACATTATTTTGTTTGAAGGCGATAAAAAAAATACATAATATCTTATAGGATATATTTCATATGTAAAATAATAACTATTATTATAGAAGTTTTTTAGATATATGTATTTTATATTTATTATATCATTTTATGAAGATATTATTTTTCCTTTTTTTTTTTTAAATATATACATTCAAACGCATGCACTCTTTTTTTTTTTTTTTTTTTTTTTTTTTAAAATTTTT